GGGTCACTAGAAGTCGCAGTAGACTCTATGGCACACGACAACAACAACACAAAGACTAAGGTATGTCTCACCCCAGTTGTGGTATTTTCAAACACTCCATATGTTTGCAAAAAGTAGACTATGGCTAGGGAAAACCAAGCAAGAGATGACATCTTTGAATTGTGATGTTGACAAGAATATTGAATATTCTATGCACTATAGAAAGAACAAAAAGATCTGCCTTGGAAGAAGGGCCACCATAGTGTTCTGTAGAAGCAAGGATGGAAATATTTCTTTTCTTTTTTCCCATTTACCTTGGCCACACAATCAGAAGAAGCCAGTTCCTGGAGAAAGACATGGTGTTTGTTACAGTATAGAGTGAGAAAGAAGAAGACCCTCAATGAGACGGACGGACGCAGTGACTATAAAAATGGGCTTAACACAACAGTGGTCAGGTGGACGGTACAGACATTCATCCTGCTGTTCACAGACTGGATTCTACATGTGACATATTCAACCACAACGGGCTAAATGTTACTGTCTAGTTATCTTCAGGTGAGCACATCACTGCCCTCTAAGGGCTGAGGGAGAGAAGCAAAGCATCAATTTCATTTAAATGGAACAAAAGGGAAGCTGGGAACCCATCCTCACCGGCCTCAGGTCTTGTCCTCCCTGAAACCCAGGCTCTGCATACACCCAATAAGAACTCTTCCACTGGTGGGACGAGCCCCTGCCTTACCTGGCCCGCTGCAGAAGGAGGCGATGATGGCCAGGATGCACACAATACTCAGGTAAGGGATCCAGGTGGCCCGGTCCTACAAGAGAACAGCAAGTGGAGTTTGTCCCCAGTGCCTGGCCTCTCACCCTTGCTCCACCTCCGTCTGTCTGTGTGACCCTGGACAAGATACTTTAAACCTCCAAGCCCTGTTTCTGTTTCCACAGAACGAGGATAATGGTCACCCTCGAATTGTTCCATCTGTTTGCAAACCCTGGAACTCCCACGAGACAGATCTGCTCTGCCTGTAGGGTTGTGGTGAGCTGAGACATATTACAGACGTAAGGACTAGACAAGACTGAACCTCAACAAGGTTAGCACAGTCCCCTGCATACAGAAGGTGGTAAATAAGTGACTAGCTCACAATGACCTGAAGCTTGCTCTGAAGCAGGCAGTATGAGGTGTTTCTAGAAGCATCATTTTATTTTGAGAAATGCAGGGCTTCATCAGCTACTGAGACCTTACCAGGAACTCTGGTGCTGCAATGGATTAAGGGTTGGGTTGCTAACTGAGAGGTCAGTGGTTCAAGCCCACCAGCTTCTCCATGACAGAGTGATGTGGCTGTCTGCTTCTAAAAAGATTTACAGCTTCAGAAACCCTGGGGGGCAGTTCTGTTCTTACAGAGTCACCATCAGGAGCTATTGATTTCATAGCAATGGGTTTGGTTTCTGCTTTCTCGGGGAAGTTTGCTTCATGTGAGTGTTAAACTCAGAGGAGCGGCATCCACTTCTGAAATGGCTTGTCTCCGGAAACTCTATGTATGAACAGTGCTCAGGCCTTTTGTTCATAAGGTCACTATGAGTCATCTACAACTCGACGACACCTAACAACAATAACAACAATGACATAGAGAGAGCTACGTTGGCCTAGTGACAGAAAGTTATGCTACCAAGCCCAAGGTGGATTATTTTAATCTGCAGCCCTCAGGCCTGGTTCAAATTGTTTATTATCAAACATTCTTCAAGGTGGTATAGCACTGGTCTGTGCATTGCTGTACAGAGGTAACTCGTGGTTGCTGTGATGCTGAACACCGTGACACTGATGTGCCAGATGTGGTAATGGTCACCCATGGTGGACGGTGTTTGGTGGTGCTTCCTGACTAAAACAAGCCCGGAAGCAGGAGCGGCATCCACTTCTGAAATGGCTTGCCTCCAGAAACTCTATGTACAAACAGTGCTCAGGTCTTTCTTTCCTAGGGTCTCTATGAGTCGTCTACAACTCAACGGCACCTAACAACAACAACAACAGGTGCTCTATGAATACAAATTATCCTGAGTGCTGTAGAGGGGAAGGTGGGTTTGGAACACAAAAATCCTCTGCCTTTTCCAGCTGCCAAATTTGGCCAGTTTATTAATTTCTTGTGCTGTGTCCTCATCTTCATAAAGGAAAAGAGTATCAATTTCCTAAGGATTCATTATCTCCTTCTATCCAACTATCCAACCCCACCTCCCTCTCTCTCTCTCTCTCTCTCACACACACACACACACAAATTCAATAGGCACTTGATACATTAAGGGACTGTTTCAAAGGCACTGAAGGTGGTTCTGATTCAAGCCACAGTCTTTTCAAGTATTTGTTATGCATCTGAAAGTTAGACAATGACTAAGGATGACAGAAGACTCATCAGTGCCTTTGAGTTGTGATGTTGGAAGAGTTCCAAGGACTGCCAAAAGAACACACAAATACGTCTTGGAGAAAGTTCAGCCAGAGTGCTCCGTGGAGGCAATGATGAAGCTTCGTCTCATACACTTCAAGCACATTGTTAGGCGGGGCTGGTCCTTGGGAAAAGATGGCACGTTTGGAAAGGTGGAGGGTCAGCAAAAGAGAGGAAGACCTTCAAGGAGAGGGGTTGACACCGTGACCGTAACAATGAGCTCAAGTACATCAGAGATGGTGGGGTTGGCACAGGAGAGGGCAGCGTTCAGTCCATTGTTCATAGGGTCACTGTAAGTCGTAGTAGACGCAATGACATCCAAGAACAGCATAGAGACTGGAGGAGCTCTGAGTCTGTGGCCCTCAGCCACCCTTCCCGCCTGGAACAAATCTCACCCCTGCAGCTCAGCTTTCACCCCAACAATAGAAAGGCCAGTGGGGTGAAAACAGGAGGGAAGTACTCTGTCCCTAAAGTGTTCAACTCTACAAGATCAAAAGGGCAACATCTGCTCAGGCACAAGGCCCAGAGGACAGGAGGGGGTAGAATAGAAGGATGAATAAAAACCGAACCACAGGAAGGAAGCAGGGAGAGTGCAGTCACACTGATGTTGGTAGGGGCCACTGAGTACAGCTCAGATCTGAAGTCTGTCCTGTCCTGTGCCATCTTCATCATCTCTGACACCCTCGAGCCCATCGCTGCAGTTACCGTGTCAATCCATCTCATTGAGAGTCTTCCTCTCTTTTGCCGACCCTCCTTTTTTCCAAGCAGAATAAGACTCTTTTAGCAGCAAGCCCAAAGTATGAGAGACGAAGCTTCCCTGTCTCTGCCTGTAAGGAACACTCTGGCTGCACCCTCTTCAAGACCTAGCTGTTCTTTGGACAATCTATAGTCTACCCAGTACTTTTCTCCAACACCACAACTCAAAGGCATCAATTCTTCTTCTGCCATCCTTATTCATTGCCCAGCTCTCAGATGCGTAACAAACAGTTGAAAAGTCCATGGTCTGAATCAGACACATCTTAGTCTTCAGAATGACATCATTGCTATTCAATATTCTGGAGTCATCTCTCACAGACGACTTGCCCAAGGCAATACTCTTCCTGATTCCCTCACTGCTGGTACCAAAAGTAGATATTGTAATGATGGTATTTTTTTTTAAGTGTCTGATGGTTGAATGGAAAACCAATTTTAAAAATATCACAGAGGGGATCTGTGCAGGTAATAGGACACTCCACTCCCACCCCACCCAGGCTGAAGGCTTCACAGCTGCAAAGCCGGGAAATCAGTTCCTGGCTGGCTTCTCTCCAGGTGTGACCGGACATGCCCTCACCTGCAGCGTCAGCGTGATGGTGAGGATCCCAAAGAAGAAGGCCATCAGCCCAAAGCCACCGATGAGGAGGGGTCTCCGTCCCAGACGCTCGATGACCAGGCCCTAGGGGAGGGGCAGAGAGAAAGAGAGAGCGTATTATTACCTTGTGGGCTCGTGCAGAGGGGTCTGGGGTGCTGGAAATTGGGATGGGTCATGGCTGAAGGCCGGCTCTGACAGGAGTCACTTTCTTGATGGCTACAGTGGGAGCAGCAGTGATATTTATGAGAAAGAAAGGGAATAAAAAGAACTGTCATGGATTGAACTGTGTCTCCTCAGAAATTCATAGTGACAGTGAGATAATGCAAAAGCTCTTGACTGCTCCTCCTTCAGAAGATAAAATTATGACAAGAGGATTAAGGGTACCAAGCAGAACAGCCTTGATGTGCAGTAAAGAGAGTTTCCCTAGGGTGTGGCCCGCAGCACATTCTAATCTCATAGGAGACAGAAGACGAGGAGAATTAGCTGAGATGAGAGACCTCTGTCTCTGTGCTAAGAAGCTGCTGGTGAAGATAATCTCCAGGACATGAGGAGATCAGGGAACACCTGGTCCACAGATGCTGAAGGAAGCAAGGACCTTTCCCCAGATCCAGCAGAGAGAGGGGGCTTTCCCTTATAGAGTTGGCAACCTGGGTTTTAGAATTCTAGCCTCCTATTGCAAGAAAAGACATTTCTCCACTTGTCCTATGATTGTTGGCATGCTCAAGGCTTTTGGTGACCACTGTGTATTTTGAGTGCCTTGCAACTTGCAACACACCACTGAGTCAACTACATCTCAGAGACGCTGTGAACAAAGGCTCTGAACCTAATCCTATCCTGAGCCAATCTCACCCTCTCAGACATGCCTGACCCCATTGCCACAGTCACTGAATCAATCCATCTCATCTAAGGTCTTCCAAGTATGTGTCCTCCAAGGACTGGTCCCTCCTGGTCATGTACCCAAAGAATGTGAGACAGAGCTTCAAAATCCTTTTAAAGAAGCAACCAGGTTTCACTATTTCCAGGACAGACTTATTCTTTTGACAGTCCATGAAGTGTTCACTACTCTGCTCCAGCACCACAACTCAAAGGCATCAATTCTTCTTCTGTCATCTTTAATATTTGCCCAGGTTTCCTGTGTATAGCAAGAAATTAAAAAGACCATGCCTAGATCAGGTGCACCTTAGTTTCTAGACTGACGTTGTTGCTTTTTAGCACTCTGGCAAGACCTTGATGGCACATTTTCTCAACATGACTCGTGTTTTGATTCCCTGATGGCTGGTGCCAAGGGTGCTGATTGTGGAATTGATTAAGATTAAATTAATGACAATTTCAATATCTTCTCCATAGATCATGATATTACCTATTGGCCCAATGGGGAGAGTTTTTTCCTTGATATTGTAATGTGATCCATATTGAAGGCTGCAGTCTCCGACCTTTTGTAGCAAACATTGTCCTGTTGTGATCTGTAAGGTTTTCACGGGTTCCTTTTTGGAAGTAGATCTTGCGGCCTTCCTCCCCAGTCTGTCTTAGTCTGGAAGCTCTGATGAACCGTGGCCATCACGTGTGATCCTATTGGTGTCTGAAATACTAATGGAGCAACGTCATAGCAGCAGGTAAGCTGAGACAGTACAACAACTGACAGGGAGTGGGCACTCAGATTAACGTGTGTTCTTTATGGATTTAAGTGTTGTTTGAGTTCTGTTATTTCTTCAGGCTCTCTGCAAACAAGTTCATCATAAGAAGGCATGCTCACGTCAGTCCATGTTATGTTTGATATTTTTATCCAACACCACAACTCAAAAGGCATTGTTTCTTCTCTGTCATCCCTGTTGTTGTTGTTGATTGCCTTTGAGTCAAGCACCCTATGAACAAAAGGCCTCAAGGCCCTCTACAACTATCGGCATTTATCAAAGTTCGTAGAGTTTCTGGAGGCAAGTTGTTTAGGAAGTGGATGCCACTCCTGCTTCCAAATCTGTCATCGAATGCTGTTGGCTGAGTTGCTTGTGATTCAGAGCGACCCTGTGTACTGCAGCTCTGAACTCTGCCTTGACCTGAGCCAATCTCATTAATTCTGACACACCAACCCCCACCACCCCAGTTACTGTATTAATCCATCACATCCAGGGTCTCCCTCTCCTGTACTGTCATCCTTTGTTATTGTGAAACCATTCCCCCCCCTTTGGAGGCAAGGATTTTGAAGCCCTGTCTGATATACTTTGGGCATGTTACCAGGAAGAACCAGTTCTTGGAGAAGGACACCATGCATAAAAGGATGGAGGGACAGCAGAAGAGAGGAAGAACCAGGTGGCGATGGAGTGACACAGTAAACATTGGTAATAAAGGTAAGTAAGTGTGTCAGAAAGAGTGAGAGTGGCTCAGGGTAGGGAAGGGTTCAGAGCTATTGTAGAAAGGGTCACTATGAGTCACTATGACACTCATGTGCCAAATGTGATAATGGTTACCCATGGTGGACAGTGTTTGGTGGAGCTCCCCGATTAAAACAAGCTTGGAAGCAGGAGTGGCATCCACTTCTGAAATGGCTTGCCTCCAGAAACTCTATGAACAGTGCTCAGGCCTTTCGTTCATAGGGTCACTAGAGTCATCTACGACTCAGTGGCACTTAACAGCAACAGCATGAGTCACAAGCAACTCCTCAGCACATAATAACAACAGTGTTCCCTTGTTCTGTTGGCACAATAGCCTCTTGGTTCAGGTATAGGTTTATATGAGCACATTTAAGTGCTCTGGGATTCCCATTCTTCTCAATGTTAGCCATAACTTGTTATGATCCACATAGTCAAATACTTTTGCATAGTCAAAAAAGAATGATATTCTTTACTTTCAAGCAGAAAAAAAAGAAGTGCTCAAACACCAAGACTTAGATCATGTTGTTTACAATATATCTTAGACTCTTTTACTGATGTCCAGGTGCTTTCGGTGGGAGACTAGGGCGTCTGCCTCCTTGTTTCATTTACCCAAAGGCTCTGGGCAAACCTATGACCTGAAAGAATTGAAAACATCTTTCCTGATTTGGAAACCGCCTAGATGAGTGGTCAGGAACACGCCAAGACAAGATCTTTGAAAGGGAAGGGAGGGTGACACCCTGCTGTCCTCTGCATCCTCGTTGGAATCAGAACCAGGCTGCAGGGCTTCGTTCCTTCTTCCTTCCTCAAGTCCCACTTGTCAAGCTCAGCTTGTCAGAAGGGATTAACACAAACATGGTGTTTCCATCAACCTTAAATTCATTAGCCGAGGCATTAACTCCAGATGAGCAGCAACATCTTCAGGGTCCTTGGAGAAGGACATCATCCCTGGAAGGGTGGAGGGACAGCGCAGGAGAGGAAGAGCCCAGATGAGATGGATCGATACAGTAACTTGGGCAATGGGGGCTGGTGTGTCAGAATTAGTAAGACTGGCTCAGGACAGGGCAGGGGTTAGAGCTTAAGGGTCTTAAGAATCTTTCCATGTGTACACTGATATTTTTTTAATATCTTCTTTTTCTAAGGCTTATTCAAGCCTTTTGCATATTTTCAAATGGATTGTAGGTATTCTTACTTTTCAGCCTGAATTCTTTCTCTATCCTTTATTCAAATCCCTTGGTTTGCTTATTAGTTTCCTTAAGAACATGTTTTAAACATCCTCAGTTTTTAATATTGATGAAAACTAACTTATTAATGTTTAAAATGCTTTGAGCTTTTTGTATCCCCCCGTGTCTGAGGATCTCATCGGCTGTGCCCTAAAATCTTTTGCTTCTCTCTGACTCAGCTTTGTCAGTGTGCAAAGGAAAGTAAGGGCTGATCACAAGAGAAGAAATGGCAGGTTAAGTATCGAATTTAAGTGCTGGTGATTTTGTCTTAAACATGGAAGAGCTCATCTTTGTTTTCCCAAATTTCCTGCTGGAGGCGGGCTCTGGGAGGTTGTAATTTTCCACAAGTTAAAAGAGCTTTAAAATTAGTCTTCAGAGGGCAGGTCTCTGGCATAATTTTCCACTTGAACTGGCATCCTCTAAACTGAGAATTAAAGCCAGCTAAGTTGGGCACAAAGTTTGTTTGGAAATTCCCAATCAGAACAAGAAGGGAGTGAAAAAATCCAGTGTGCCTCTTTAGGCCAAAGGTGATAAACAAAAAAAGTAACTTTTAAAATTATTATCATTGCAAGGGAATCTTTGTTCCTTAAATAGAATACACCACCATGGTCCTCAGCTATTTTGAGCAAAGTGCTAAGTAAGACAACGATTGGGACAATGGAATAGAAGGAAAGGTAGCTTCAGTCAGCAATTCCAGTCCTCAAGACCTGGAGAAAGTTTGTACATAGAGACCTCACGTACAACAGTGCAAAGGCCTATCCAGTCCCCACAATCATGGCTGTGGATCAATTGTTGCAGCCACCGCACCAATCTGCTTCCATTGAAAGTTGTCTTCTTTCTCTCTGACCTACTTTACCAAGCATGAAGTCTTTCTCTAGGGACTTGTCCCTCGTGATAATATGCTCAAAGTCTGGAAGACAAAGTCTCATCACGATTGCCTCTAAAGAACATTCTGACCAAATGAGACATTCATCTAAGACAAATGAATTTGTTCTTTGGACAGTCCATAGTATATTCAATACTCTTCACCAACGCCACAATTCAAAGACATCACGTTCTCCCTGGTCTTCCTCAGGCATTGTCCAGTTTTCACATGCATTCGATTGGTGTGATGATACCATGGCTCAGGTTAGCCACCTAACCTTACTCCTCAAACTGACATCTTTGCTTTTTAACACTTTAAATAGGTCTTATTTGGGACTGAAGGATATATAACATCCTCCCTTTCTGAAAATTTCTTATGTATTAGATAAAGGATATATCACTGTGGTGTTAAGGGTTTATTGTTCAAAATGGCTTTACTAGCCATTGATTGGTTTTGCCTCGTGAAAGGGCTGGAATGTGTGAATAGGGTGCGTCAGCCTGTCCACATGGGAATTGGCTCATCTCACCATTAAATTACGTGGCTCTAGTAGCAGAATTTGAGAATCTTGCCAGGAGCAAAGGAAGCAGACATGCAGGTATGCACTTCAGGGCCAGAGATTCCTGTGTCTGCTGG